CAGGAGTTTGCTTATTCTAATCCAACTTGCTTATAAGTACCTCATCAAGTCAGGGAGACCTAAAAGGGGGAAAATTACTCAAGTTTTATATTAAATGTGGAAGGTGTTTTTTGAAGATGTATTTAGTAATTTACTGAAATATTGTATAGGTTAGTAAAACTGGAGCAGAAGGTGCTGTGCTGGATGAGGCTAAGAACATCAACAAGTCTTTGTCTGCTCTTGGAAACGTCATCTCAGCTTTGGCTGAAAGCAGTGTAAGTGTTCTGTTGTATTTTTATACTTCAAGGTTAAAGGCTTCCATCTCTGGACATGATACTATGCAGAAATTCTTTATTGATCTCAGTGATATGTATGGAATCTTTTAAACTAATGCAATTGCATCAATGCATTGCAAATGGTCGTTATTCTTGTACTGTATTGACACTGATGATTAATAAATTACGGTTAATGTTGAGGGTTATAATCATCGTACTTCAGTTTTTTGTACTCTAGAAGTTAACAAACATAGAAGTAGACTTTTATGTCATCCCTTGCATGTTCAGTCTTATGTTTTATGAATTGAAGTAGAATTTAGTGTCTTTCTAATGAAGTTATACCTAACAAAACCGTAACTCTTATTTCAACACACTAAATGTGTCTGAAAAAACATAACTGATTCATTTAACCATTTTCTTCATAGACTTATGTTCCATATCGTGATAGCAAAATGACCAGAATCCTTCAAGATTCACTAGGGGGTAATTGCAGAACCACTATTGTTATTTGCTGTTCTCCATCTTCATACAATGAATCTGAAACTAAATCTACTCTTCTGTTTGGCCAAAGGTGAGTAAATGACTTTATATTTTGCTCTTGCTATACTCAGAAATAAATGCAGAATGAGAAATAAGTTACTCCGTTAAGATTCCTGAACGAAACTAATTAGAGTGTTTACTTCCTGCAGTTCTTCAGTGCACATGTGATTGTTGTGATCTATTTTATCTGTATAAAAATCCTTAAATGGGACAGAATCCTGAAGACTGTATTCCCAGGAAGACAGCATATAATTTGGTCCAAAATTGCAGTTTAATGCATAGTCTTGGAGGGTAGTTAATACTTTTTTTAAAGTAGAGAGGAATTAGTTTTCCTTGATTAATTGAATCCTTTATGTGCTGGGAGAGCCTGTCCTTTGCCAACCTTTCTTTGACAGCATGCTGAATTACATCTTCTGGTCTGTTTCCTGTATTTAGAGTTCCAGTAACATTTGACTTAATACTTCTAAATTCCTGTGTCGTTTGCAATTGGATTTTTACGTACCCATTTAAAATTTGATATTTTGTTAGAAATCTCTTCTTTGCCGTTTTATTATTAATACTTCATCATAGTACTCCATTTCCTGACCACTAAATTTAATCACTCCATTTACTGGAGCACTTTACAAAAACTGTGAGCATTTCCCTTAGTTCATCTGGTCTTCTATGTTAGTGTACCTCTTCCACTTTAGTTCAACGAGATAATTTTCTACTGGTCTTTTCGGAGAAGATTTTTATTATGGAGGGTAGACTACATTACTTCAGAACCTTACTTAAAAACCTGGCAGAATATGGGCTAGTGGATGTGGAGTAATGACTGCATTCTGCAGTAGTGGAGTTGTATCTCGGTAGTTTCACTGCCTCATGCTCTTGACTTCTTCAGGTGTTAATACAGTACACTTCTCTCTCAGGTACCATAGTTAGTCTGGTATATTAATTAAACCTTCTAGAGGTGTTAAATTTCTGCTGAAACGCTGAGCTGTAGTCACTGAAGGCTAGATAAGTATCACATAACTCTGTAGGAGATCATGTGCCTTTTGATAGTAATCCGTCCCACTAAGACTTTGCAGAAAGATGCTCATAGGAGTCATAATATGGGGGAAAAAATTTGTTACTACTATTGAACTTTTCCTGTTTTCATCTTTGGAGAGAGTGAGTATTTGGTTTTAGGAGACTATACAAAAGTATTACTGAGGTAGGTAGGTAAGTGAGGTATGGCACTGAAGTAAAAACTGTACATGAACTTCACGAAGATATGTTGCTAGTGCCTGTAATTTCATCTCCAACGCTAATGTGTTCAGATGAGATTTGGCTGGCTTGAATGTAGACAATCAATCTGAACTTTATACCTTGTACACCTTTTTGGTTAATAGAGATACAAGAAATTAATTTTTAGGTTGAAATGGGCAATTTCTTAAATAAGCTTGAAGGTTTTACACCCTCAAAGTATTATGGTCTCTGTTAAAGAAATGTTTGCTAGGTGTGGTGAATGCTGCCCTTTCTTCAAAGCTCTGCACTGTCCTGACTCAAATTCCTTCAAGTGAAAGTATACAGCTGAGTTTTTCCAACTCAACCAACCTGAGATTTTTCAGCCTTACCAGAGTTTATTGTAGTGCTTTATCCATTAATAGTTGTATCAATCCACTTGAAAGAACAGTAAGTTGGCAGGGAGTAGAAATAAGCTTTTAGAAGAGGTAGGAATTGTTTACAATGTCACCAGTGATATGTAGAAATTTTATTTAAGAGCCTTTAATACTTTTCTTTAAAACAAAAGAGAAGTTTGAGAGCTTTTTGCTGTTTCTATGTAGAGCAAAGACCATTAAGAACACAGTCTGCGTCAACGTGGAGCTCACTGCAGAGCAATGGAAGAAAAAGTATGAGAAGGAAAAAGAGAAAAACAAGACTCTGCGTAACACCATACAGTGGCTGGAAAACGAACTCAACAGATGGCGGAATGGTAAGAAGCAATTGCATTTTTGTTCTGGGAACTTTAGGCAAGACAATAGACACTGAATTAGTATTCAGGATACCAAAAATAACTAAGAGCACTGTGCAAGATGATAGAAGGAATATTAAAGCTAGGATAAGAAGTTGACACTGGAACTTCATATTTTTATGCTGTACTGCAACTGGAACAATTTTTAATAATCACATAATGGCAAAAATGTAATGTCTGGAAGTATGTTGGTATTAGGTTCTTCAACACTTACTTTACTACAGAGCTAGGGTTACATGCTAAAAAAATTTATTTGGAGGAAGAAAAAATGATATTAATTGTAAATGCAGAAACTGAGTAAAATTTCCTCTGGTTTGGTTTTCTAATTCATATCAGTATCACAAGATCTTATCTTTGTTGAAAATTCAAACATGTTAATAGGCAAAAAACTCACTCAAAACCCAAAATTGTTGACAGTACAGAATGCGTGCCAGTCACTTCTTCCTGAATAATTGGCTTATCTACTGGAAGTGTCTGGCAAAATGCAAGTTAAATAGGAAGCCTTAAATTCAGGAAAAGAGGAGCATGGGTCATACTTACAGATATAGTCTGGAGTTTGACAGCTACAGAAGACAGTTTTGCAGTTGTGTAGACAACTGCACCATGTCCTGGTGTAAATCTGAGAAAAATGGGCTCACTTAAGTTTAGTGGGATGTGACTTTTTTTTTACGATTATTTATTTTTTGTAATCTTCTACAGAGATGGTATGAGGCCACACCTGAAATGTTAACTACAGTTCTTCCAGAATATTGACACAAGATACTGGAGTGTTGGAAGGAGCTCATAGCTTCCAAGAACTACATAAAATGCTTTGTAATAAGGTGCTAAGGAGTTTAGTTTAGTTTAGCAGAGAAGTGCCTTGATTAGCATGTGTGGTATTTTTTCTATGTGGAGTTAGTAAAGTGTACTTAACAGAAAAAGCTTAATGAACATAAAAGGATAAAAATGTAACTGAACAAATGTTTTACATTAGAAGCAAAACAATTTACAAGTAAATACAACTACCTAGCAAAATAGACTGCCAAGGGAAAAGAAAAGTTTTTCTGTCATCAGGGCAGGTTAGGTGCCTTTCTAGAAGATACAGTTTGTGAGACTGGGAGCTCATACCAGAGTAACTGGGTGAGATATAATGTTCTGTGGTAAGCAGAAGATAGTTTGGGTGATCTAGTAGTTGTTTTTTTTACCATGTAATCATGTGAACTTGATTGCTTATTAACCATGGAGCAGTACTGTTAGTGGGAAGTGTGTAATACTTCTCAAGGCTAAGTTTGTGGAAGATACTTCATGGCTGACTGTACTAAAACTAAATATATTATTTTCTTTAAGGGGAAACTGTACCAGTTGATGAACAGTTTGACAAGGAGAAGGCCAACTTGGAAGCTTTTGCAGTGGACAAGGATGTTACTGTTATTAATGATAAACCAGCTACCACAATTGGAGTAACTGGCAATTTCACTGATGCTGAGAGAAGAAAATGTGAGGAAGAAATTGCTAAACTGTACAAACAACTGGATGACAAGGTATGCCGTTCTTATTTAGTGTAAGGGCTCTTGGAAATGTGTCTTGAACTATATTATGTAATATTTAATTTGTTAGTCTTAATTTGTTAGTTCAGCTAGCTTAAGTATTTGCTGAGAGTGCTGACTCTAATTCTCAAGCTCTGATTAAGAGAAATCAGAATTGCCTTATCTGGTGCTAAGTGAGCATCCTTTCTTAGTTGCTCTCCCTCCTTTGCTGAAACTGCTAAAAAAAGGTCCTGGAAACCAAAGTATCAGTATATAGAAAAGAAGATAGAAATGAGAGTTAGGAAGGTGTCGTGGTTTAACCCTAGCTGAAACTAAACACCACACAGCCACTCACTCGCTCCAGCTCCCTGCGTGGGATGGGGAGGAGAATCAAAACAAAAGTCATAGGTGGAGTAAAGACAGTTTAATAGGACAGAGGAAAAAAGAATAATAATAACGATAATAAAAGAAGACACAAAAGAAGTGATGTACAATACAATTGCTCACTGCCCGTTGACCGATGTCCAGCCGGTTCCTGAGCAGTGATCGTGCTGCCCATGGCCAACTCCTCCAGTTTATATACTGAGTGTGATGTTGTGTGATATGGAGTATCACACTGGCCAGCTTGGGTCAGCTGTACTGGCTATGCTCCCTCCCAGCTTCTTCTGCACTTGGTAGAGCATAGGAAGTTGAAAGTCCTTGACTGCTTAGCAACAACTAAATATATCAGTGTAGTATTAGTGTTGTTTTCATACTAAATCTGAAAGCATAACGCTATACTAGCCGCGAAGAAGAAAATTAGCTCTATCCCAGCTGAAACCAGGACAGGAAGAGAAGTTAATGAGTATCTTGAATGGTATTTCTGTTTTCTGGCTGTAGAACATTCCTAGCTGATTGTTTGGAATACTACTACACCAGAAAAAGGAAAATAATGAGAAAGCAGGAAAATTAGTATTTTGAAGACAATAGCTTTTTTCTTCTGTTATGCATATTTTATTTGAAAAAAAATTTAAATTTGAGCAGTAGTAATACATTTGGAGAGGAAAAAAAAATCTTTTAATTAAATCTCAATGATTTCTTGGAAGTTAGAATAACTTGAAGACTTGTAAAAGCAGAGTATTGTCTTTGAAGCATGGTGTTTTACACATGTGCCAGGTTAAGAGCGTAATGAATCAGCCAGTGAAATCAAAAGGATTATTTTTTTATTTTTATTGCTTTCGGTTGTATAATTGTCTCAGAATATGGAATATTTAGTTGCCTAACGTCTCCTATCTCTTAAATTATTTTTCTGGAGTGGTATTTGTTGATTTATTGAACATGGTTTTACTTTAACTTCAGGATGAAGAAATTAATCAGCAGAGCCAACTAGTAGAAAAATTGAAAACACAAATGTTGGATCAGGAAGAGGTGAGTTTCGCTCTTGCATCTTTATTCTGGTTTTGTTTGTCTGTCCTTTAAATGAATTAGAGATGTTCTGAATAGGTCACAGTTTATGACCAGGGAGTAGATTGGCAGCTTACTACTGTAGAATAGTTTCCTTTTATTCGTTGTCTAAATGCTCTGTCTGTTCATTCCCCCCACTCGTGCTGCACTAGTGGCTAAACTTAAGCCAGTTTACCTGAACCTTAAGTATCCATGAAGATTGAAGGAACTGAAATATTTTATGCAAAGATATCAGCAGTTGCTTTCCCTATGCAACGTTAGCAGTTTGTCAAAACTGAAGATACCTTGATTTACTATGAGAAATCTCTTTCAAGGTTCACCTTTGGTTAGTTGCTGTATAGCGAGAGAAGGGGAAGGGAGGAAATGTAATGTCTCATAAAGAAAAAGGAAGTATCTATGTGTTACTTCACACCATACTTGCTAGAGTATTCAAATGATTAGCAAGCACATGTTGCCAGTGATGTAACTTAATTAAATTGGGAAAATACTTACTAATAATTAAATTGTTAATTTCCTTTAGCCAAGATATGAGAGAAAATAATTCTATGTAGCACAAAGATTAAAAAAAATAAGTACAGGCTGAGTGGCGAATGGATTGAGAGCAGCCCTGAGGAAAAGGACTTGGGAGTGCTGGTGGATGAGAAGCTCAACATGAGCCGGCAATGTGCGCTGGCAGCCCAGAAAGCAAATTGTATCCTGTGTTGTATCAAAAGAAGTGTGGCCAGCAGGTCGAGGGAAGTGATTCTGCCCCTCTACTCAGCTCTCATGAGGCCCCACCTGGAATACTGTGTTCAGCTCTGGAGTCCCCAACACAAGAAGGACATGGAGGTACTGGAGCAAGTCCAGAGGAGGGCCACGAAGATGATCCGAGGGCTGGAGCACCTCTCCTATGAAGACAGGCCGAGAGAGTTGGGGCTGTTCAGCCTGGAGAAGAGAAGGCTCAGGGTCATCTTATAGCAGCTTTCCAGTACCTAAAGGGGGCCTACAGGAAAGCTGAGGAGGGACTTTTTACAAGGGTGTGTAGTGATAGGACAAGGGGCAATGGATTTAAACTGAAAGAGGGGAGATTTTGATTAGATATAAGGAAGAAATTTTTTTACGTTGAGGGTGGTGAGGCAGTGGAACAGGTTGCCCAGAGAAGTTGTGGATGGCCCATCTCCGAAGTGTTCAAGGG